TGTAAATCTGGTTTATTCAATTAGAAGATATTAAATCCAAAAATAAACAAAAAAGCCAGCATTTAAATGGATGACTAAATGTCCAAGGAACCAAAGTTGGCTGCAGCAAATGCTGCTCACGACAAATTTGACAAAAGCTTGAGAAAGCAGGAAAGTCTCAGGACCACCACCGCCATTTATAAACCATGGCATTTTAGGAAAATCACAAAATCTCTCTTCCAGCCCCAGACTGTGCATCTGTAAAATGGGACTAATGATGCAGCACCGCCTACCCCCTACACAGTGAGAGGGCAATGTGATCATTAGAGGAGAGAGTGGTTAGTGAAAACATCTATGGAGTAATGGTAGGCAGAGTTAGAATTTAGGATCACTATAGCTGGGAACATCTGTTAAATAATCACTAAAGAAAAAAAAATTTTTTTTTTTGCATGAGCAGTAAGAGTGCATGCTTTACATATGCATCAGTTTCTGGCAAACACTTAAGCTTAGGAATAATTGGAGATAGTTGCAACATTTTGGCGATGTTCAAGAAAAGATGGCATAAGGAAAGAACCTAGGGAGAAACACATTCAGCTTTTCAGTTTCCAGGGGGATTTTAGTGGGTGACTTGGGCACTGCACATAGCTTCTTTTGGTTCCAAGACAACCAGCTCCTTTGCGCTAAGGAAAGCTTCACAGGTTGAGGATGGGGAGCGGGCAGTATTATCAGGGCTAGAGAAGCCCAGAGTGGTAGGCCAGCTCTTAAATGGAAGAGTGCTAAGCCTTAGAATTAAGTCTTATTGAATGGCTTTGAAAAGGAGTCAAAAGAGGGAGTTATGAAGCAGGCACCAGCATTTCAGCAGATTGGAGGTAGAGATGAATGCCAGCTTTAGAGGTAGAGATGAATGCCAGACAGATGGGGAGAAACTATGGGAAGCTGGGGGAGTGGGCAAGAGTAGAGGCTGAGGGCTTCCAGAGTGGGCAAAGACAGGTGATGCATTGCGTGGGGGAAATGACCCACATTATGTTAATGATTCATTCATCCATTAACTTTTCTAGAACCCTGAACTTCAACTAAGTGCAAAGCATGGTGTTATAGGATTCCAGTTTGGGTGGGTGGAAGGTGTGGGAGTGGGTAGGAGGAACACAAAGAGAATATTATCTCTGCTATCAGGAGCTTCTAAAGAGAAAGACACGAATACATATAAAAATAGCAAGGTTTTATGTGGTAAACTCTGCAGGAAAGGAGTATGCAAATTACAAAGATGGAACAGCAAATGGATTACTCTAGACAAAGGAAGAGATGGGAACTGGGAACTGTCTCCTAGAGAGACAGTCCTGGTCTTGTGGTATTATTAGGATTCCGCTGGAATTAGATGGTCAAGTGCTCTTGGTAACAGCGTAGGACTTGTACTCAGATACATTCTGAGTGTTTCCATAGATGGCATTGGTCCTAAAATACTGCTGAAGCCCTAGTGAATGTTGCGGATTTTTAGGCATATATATACAGATGTGAAGACCAAGATGTATAGTCCAATCCACTCCTCTATGAATTAAACCATGTTATTATTTGATCCAGTGTGGCTAAAATTGTCTAGCCCCTTTTAAAAGGCTACAGCATATACATATAAATAGCTTACAGAAAGGTTAATTGGAACCAGCAGAGTAGGAATGAGGTTACCATGGGTTTTCAGGATACATGAGGCTCCAAGGTGGTGCCTCAAGCTATTCTGGAACTAAGAAATTGTTAATTCCAAAACCAAAGGAAGGAGTATATATAAATCTTATTTATAAATGAGCAATAAGCATTGTTAACATGCCCTACCAGAACTTTGTTTAAAAAAAAAAATGAAAAGATGCTTTTAATTAATTGTAAGTCAAGAAAATAAAGACAATAAATATACTTCTTTCAATTTATGACTATTTTTCAGCTGTTTTAGTTTGAAGTGGCTATTTCATCAGAGATGGCACAATGCCTTGACATAATTAACTACATGATCACTTGTGTTACATACGACTGGCAATAATATTGACCATTTGAATGAAGTGCTGTAGGGATAAAGAGGAGGGAAAGAGTCATTCTCCCTGGAGTGTGGAGGTCATCATTCTCTTCTTGTCTTGAGAATAAAGGGATTGGAAGCCTAAAGCTCTGAGAAGAGGAAATGAAATTTGTGAAAGCAGCAGGAGTTTCTAGCAAAGCATGGTAAAATGACTGAGCAGTGTTGAGGATACAAACAAGGTTGGCAAACATGAAGTTAGCGTCATGCCCATATACACAGTTGTGCCATATTCTCCAGCAATAACGGTCTACTCAGGCACAGGTGTATACACACACACACACACACACTCACACATATGTGTGTGTGTGTCTGTGGGGCTTTGCCAGGCAAGGGTAAGCAAAAGGGGCACCATGGACTCAGTAATATTTTGAGGATATTATAAGAAGAACTATGGCTTCTAGGCCAGATACAGAAGAAGCTCAAGATAGGAGGAAGTTCAAAGACGTAGAGAAAGTGGTGATAACACTGGCTTAGAGATCTCCGTGAGGCTGGAAAATATTTCAGTGAAGGGACTTGAGTAAATGAGCTGGAAGGTGATGAGAGGATGAGATGACGAGGATGGGATGTCAGAGCAGGTGCAGTTTCTGGTGATGACAAGGTTTCACTTATGCCTCTCAAAGTGTGCTGAGGTGGAGGAGGAAGGTCACTGAAGGTGCAGTCATCAACAAACTCTGCAGTCAAGGTGTTGCTTTCATCAGCACTGAGGACATGTAGTGCCTTAGGATGATAAAGTGGAGAGGAAGACCCGGAGAAAGAGGCTAAAGGCTTCAGTGAGGAGGGAAGTCAGGGTAAGCGGGTGGACAGCGTGAACCTCAAGGATGTTACAGTATTTTAGAAAGAAAAAGAGAGTGATGGTCCAGAGGCAGCACCCAGTTTCCTGACACTGAAACTGGAGATTGTACCATTGAGAACAAATCCTCTGCTTGAGAGGGTAGAAAGGAAAACAGTGTCCTCAGGGGTCAGAGATGGATTTGAAAGGGTCACTGGGGGAAGAAGAGGAGTTTGGTGAAGTCTGGCAAAGTAGGCAATGGGAACTGGGTGGGGGCGGTGGGGAGAGGACACGCAGCAAGTGGGAGTGGTTTCTGAAATCGTAAGAAAGCTTAGTGACAGCTGTGGTGCACCTCTCAGGGAAGTCTGGAGCTACTTAATATCCTCAATGAGTTCAACTGTGTCAGCTTTGGATACTTTGTAGATGGCAAATTATGATGAGCATGGTTTCCAGACTATGCTTTCTGAGGCCCTTTATGTCACTTTAAAGTGCATGGATGAAAAAATTACACAAAACAGATGTAGGGTTGGACCACTAGTCTTACAAAAATAACACATAAGTAATCAGACATCGAAGCCAATTAAATTTTTATGTTAAGTCCTCTATCACCTGTTTTTCCAGTCTCCCCTGCTATTTGCCCTACACTCCACCAGCTTTACCAGACTGGCCCTAACTTCCCCAGCACACGGCCCACATTCGAGCCTCCTGCTGTGTGTGATCTTCCTCCATCCAGTATAGGCCCTGGGCTGGGGGCAGGTTAGCTAGTGTTACCAGGTTTACCTTTATATCCTCTCCTCATTAAATCAGCTGAGCATTTTCCATTGTCTCAGAAAAGCAGAATGCAGAAGGAAAAAAATACTTTTCTGGCTTTTGAGTTTCAAAATGCAGGCCCTATCAGGGTAGGGAGGACTGCCACAGTGGTGGCTTTGGGAAAAGGTTGGGTGGTAGGGGTTCCTATTCCTCCTCCTCCCACAGAGAGATGAAGTATCCTCAGGCTGGAGGAAGGGGGAGACACAGAAGAGGAGAGTTGACAGACAGGAGGTGAGTGGCCTGCACAGGCACAGCCTAGGACCTTGCTTCCGGCCTAGGCTCCCTGCAGGAGTAAGACACGACTGCCCTGCTCTTGTATTTCCCCTTGCTAACCATACTTTCTGTCATCAACCCACCCAGCCTGCTAACCTGTCTCATTTTGGCTTACATTATGCTTTAAATTTGTTTTCACTGCCGTTATTTGAAGTTTTGGACATCTGAAGTTTTAAAAGCCCAGATTTCAGGCCTTTCTTGAGGAAAACTCAGATCGGCCCACACTGGACCCACAATACCTGTGGCCAACAGTCTGTTGTCCCTTTCAACGGGGCTGGCATTCCCCCACTTCCTTTGATTATTATCTGTTATTCTGTGACCCAATGTCTGCCTAAATTTTTTGGCTCTAGAGCCTCTCAGATCCCTGATGCCCAGTGAGCTAAGTGCTAGGCTACAGGCTGGCATACATGACCAGTCTTGATAAGTCTAGTTATAACATAATCTCACAGAAAAGCAAATCTACCTTCCCCTAACACTGAGAAAAATAGCTGATTTCCTCAGTGGAAAGCTGCAATAACCCTCTGTTCTCTCCCCAAAGTCTTCTCAGACTCGGCAGAGGAAAGACTTATCTTTCACCTTGCAAAAAATGCCAGACTCAGAGAAAAGCAAAGGCAAATATGTGATATGCTTTCACAGGTCACAGTGATTTACATCCACTGACAGAGCAGGGCAAACACTGGCTCAGCCTAAGAGGCTAAACTGCGCACACAAGGTTCCAAGTTAGTGGTAGAGTTTAGAACCCAGACCTCCTCTCTTCCCAGCCAGTGCCCTGGAAGACTAGACTGCTTCATTCTGCCCTGGAGAAGGGCTGGTGGGAAGCCCTTCCCCTGGGGCCAAAGGAAAAACACTCCTACCAGTTCATTCTCCAGCCACAAGAGTCAAAGTTTGATCATATCCCAACTCACTTAATGAAATTTTCCAAGCTTATTTTTACTTATAAACACATGTATTGAACAGATATGTTTCTAAAAAGACCTCTTATCTGCTCTCATCCTTTCAGAATAAGTTTTCTAAAGCTGATTCAGACTGCCTGGACTGTGTAAAGACCGATGGAGGCACAGAACTGACAAATCAACAAGATACCATTAATCTCTGATAGGCCTGGGCACACGAAGGTTTTCCAGGTCTGCTCTTCCCTTCTGCTCTTTTGTTGAAGCTGGTTCACTGCATAGGAGCAGTCATTCCGGAAGGAAGGGGTAGGTATTGAAAGGGAGCTTAATACATTCTACTACTATCTCTATGGACTTGGCTGTTGTCATGGTTACTTTTTTTCAAAATACCACATCAGGACTTTCACTCTTATTCCACACTGGAGAGGAAGTCAACAAGCAGGGAAGTCTGCATCCAGAGGGATCTCAGGAGAGCAAGACTTCCCTCGCTTCTATCCTGATAGAGTTCCTGTTCTGTAGAGCGAATCTGCCCTCCATTCCAGACTTCTGATAATTCTCAGCTCTCTGTCATTCCTGGGCAGGCTGAATTGAGTCACACCTTTCCCCTTCAAGTGGTGGGAAGCTCTTAGGAGCAAAACTGGCCCAGCTCCTATCATGGTGGCAGTCCACAGCTGCAGAGACTGGGCAGGCAGGTCTGGGAGGAGCACAGCAGTCTCAGGCAGGCAGCTCCACAGCCAACGCATAGACAGAGTTTGCACAGCTCAGTGCGGAGTGAAAAGGCAGAGCCCCTTGTTCAAAAAGCAGAGAGAGAAAGGCGTTTTCCTTTCTTCCATGGTCTTTCCGCCTTTTGAAGTTTGCCATTTGCTGTTGTGCTCTCTTGGGCACAGGGCTACTCTTAGGTCAACCACCCTGTGATGACTCAGTCCCCTTGTCTGTGCACCAGTCCTGTCCTTCTCCCATCTGTGCCCAGCCGTGTTCACTGGGCAGGACAGAGGAGTGGGGAATCCAAACCTTGGGAAGTTGCAGGAGGCATGACCCTGTTTGAGCCAAGGGTCCAAGTTCCTGGTGCATTCACCGTTCCATGGGACTTTGCTCACAAAACAAGGACTCAAAGATAAAATTGTTGAGTCAATATGGTGACTGCAGACCATAAAACAGCAAGTACAACCCCCGTCTGAGCTCCAGGCCCTATGCAATCGACCCCCATGGTGTTTTCCCAGGCACCTAGTCTGCCTGCTCCCCTGTCAAAAGGGAAGGCTACTCCTTGTGCAGACCCCAGCCTAGCAAGCTGGAGTGCTCCAGGAAGTTTTAACTGCCACAGCCAGTTATTACTACGCATCTCTCATTCCTCCACTCTCTCCAGCCTAAGTTAAAGGCAGATTCTAAATAGACAAGTAGGAAAGCAAATAATAGACTCACTCTTCCCTATGTTTCTCTAGGACACCGTTCAAATCTTTTTATTATATTGATGGGATTGCCTGGTTTATACTAGCTCTTATCTCTTTCCTTCATCCTTTTAAAACCACTTTATTGAGGCATAATTGACATATAATAAACCTCAAATATTTAAAGCATACAATCTTTTGAGTTTTGACACATATCTATGTATGTATATATATGAATGAGATCATCACCAAACTCAAGGTAACACTTTAATCATCCTCTTGTAAGCCATCCCTTCCTCTGCCTCATCCTCAGACAACTACAAATCTGCTCCCTATCACTATGGATCAGTTTACATTTTTGAGAATCTTATCTCAGTGTAATCATACAAGCTGTACTCTTTTGTCTGGCTTCTTCCACTTAGCATATTGGTTTTGAGACTCATTTATGTCATTGTTCAGTTCAACAATTTGTTTCTCAATATTGCTGAGTAGCATTCTATTTTATGGTTAAACCACAGTTTATCCATTCACTTGTTAATGAACCTTCAATTTGTTTCCCAGCTTTTTGGCTATTTCAAATAAGGCTACAATGAACACAGGCATACAAGAATAGAATGTGGCTGTGTCATGTGGTAGCTATATTTTTAACTTTTAAAAAACTGCCAAATTATCTTTCAAAGTACCAGAAGTATCAGAGTTCCAGTTGTTCCACATTCTCACTAACACTTGATATGTGTCAGTATTTTAATTTTAACCATTCTAGAAGTATCTGATTGTGGTCTTAATTTTCATCTCCCTAATTACTAATAACTTTGAGCTATTTTTAGCGAGCTTACTGGCCATTCGTATATCCTCTTTTTTTTTTTTTTTTAAACTCTGGCCCCCACGCCAACCTGCTTCACTGAAAAGGTAAGAGGAGACCCAGCCCAAGTCAGCTGTGGGGGCCAGCAGGGCTGGGCCAGCCATATATCTTCTCTTGTGAACCATCTGGTCAAATATTTCCCCTTTTTTGCTTTGTTTGTTTTGGCAGCACCATACAGCTTGCAGGGTCTCAGTTCCCTGACCAGGGACTGAACCTGGACCTGGCAGTGAAAGCCTGGAATCCTAACAATTAGACCGCTAGGGAACTCCCGCTCCTGTTTTATAAAATTGGTTTGTTTTATTGAATTTTAAGAGTTTGTTTTTTTTTTAAGAGTTTTTTTTTTTTTAAGTTTTGAAATCAAGTTTTTTGTCTCATATATGTGTTCCAAATATTTTCTCCTAGTCTGTGGTCTACTTTGTTTTCCTAGTGTCTATTGAAAATCTCCCTGGTGGCTCAGATGGTAAAGTGTCTGCCTACAATGTGGGAGACCTGGGTTCGATCCCTGGGTCAGGAAGATCCCCTGGAGAAGGAAATGGCAACCACTCCAGTACTCTTGCCTGGAAAATCCCATGGACAGAGGAGCCTGGTAGGCTACAGTCCATGGGGTCGGAAAGAGTCAGACACGACTGAGCGACTTCACTTTCACTATTGAAAATCTAGTTTTTTAACTTTTGATGAAGTCCAATTATTAATTTTTCTTCTATGTTGTGCTTTTTTATGTATTCTAAGGAAACTTCACCCCCTCAAGATTACAAAGATTTTTTTCTCTTGTTGTCTTTTAAAAGTTTAGCAGTTTTAGGTTTACATTTAGGTCTGTGATTCATTTTGAGTGAATTTTTGTGTATGGTGTGAGTTAAGGGTTGATGCCTCTCCCACCCCCTACACCTCCTTAACCATATCCAGTTGATCCAGTACCATTTGTTGAAAAAACTTTTCTTTCCCCATTAAACTGTCCTGGTACCTTTGTTTAAAATTGGCAGTATATGTGTAGGACTCTCTGGACTCTATTCTGTTCTAGGGATCTGTATGTTTATTTTTTGCCAAGCTGTTTTGATTACTGTAGCTTTATAGAAAGTAATGAAATATAGCAATAAGGTTGGTAACTTGGAAGACAAATTCTCCAACTTTGTTCTTTATAAATTACTTTGCAAGATTTCCCTGGTGGTCCGGCCAAGACTCCGGGTCCCTGTGTCTGGGTTCAAGCCTTGGTTGGGGAATTAGACTAAGAGTCCTTAGTTCTTAGTACCTGCTGTGACCGAGTTCTCATGCCACAACTAAAGGGTCCTGCACTCTGCAACTAAGACTCAGAGCAGCCTGATTAATAAATTACTTTGCCACGGAAGTGTGCTTCTCAGATCTCCTTCAAAAGAACCTGCTTTTGGAAGTGTGGTTGATGACTCTAACTCAATGGATTCACCAGCAAGTTCACAGAAAGGCTATCTTTCTCTTGGTGGCTCCAACCAATGACTGAGTATGGTGTGGGTATTTTGCTAACCAGTTCTGTCCAGTGTGAGACTCTTCCAAAAGGCAATCTTTGCCTGGGGACACCCCTTTCCTAACTAAAACTCTCGGAATTACACTCTAGTCTGAAGCCCTTCCCACACAATTCTTCCCTTCTTGTCTCCTTTCATGGGTGCCAGACCTGCATTGGGATCTGACAGTGTTCTTGTCTGTTCCTGCTCCCTTCCCCACCTTTTCTCCTCCCCATTTTCCTCTAAAAATCTCTTGCATATCTAAATCCAGTCTCCCTGCCTGCTTCTCAGATGTTCCTAACTGACCATACTTCGGTTATTTGCATTTCTGTATACATCTTGAAATCAGCTTTGTTTTTTGAAACTCTACAAAACAAAAAGCCTGCTGGAATTTTAATTGACAGTTCATTGATTCTACAGAACAATTTAGGCAGAATTGCCACCTTAATGATACAGCCTTAGCACGAATTTGATGTATCTTGCCATCTAGATCTTCAATTTCTCTCAGCAGTGTTTTGTACTTTTTGATGTAGCAGTCTTAAACATCCTTTTTTTTTTTTTTTTATTTATTACAAGTATTTTATGGCTTTTGGTCCTACTCTATTGGAATGGTTTTTAAATTTTTATTTTTCAATTGATTGCTACTAATGTAATATAATACAGTTGAATTTTGTATATTAACCTTGTAGCCTGAAACTTTGCTAAATTCATTAGTAGTCTCAGTCATTTTGTCTCTGCTCTCCTCATCTTTTTAAATAAAAATTTTAAGGAATTGCAGTGCTCTAGTAAGAGTAGGGTGTAGTTGAAGCTTCAGCCTTTGTCTCTCCAGAACTTCCCTGCCCCTGACCTTCAAAAACGGTTTCTGAAAAGATGCTCAACATCACTCATTATCAGAGAAATGCAAATCAAAACCACAATGAGGTACCATGACACACCAGTCAGGATAGCTGCTATCCAAAAGTCTACAAGCAATAAATGCTGGAGAGGGTGTGGAGAAAAGGGAACCCTCTTACACTGTTGGTGGGAATGCAAATTAGTACAGCCACTATGGAAAACAGTGTGGAGATT